TCGAAAAGGACGATCAACCCTGGACGCAATCAAACTGGTTGTTGATACGGCCAAGGAAGCAATCGCAGGAACCAGATGGAAAGGTGGAACGAAAGAGTATTGCCTGGTGGCGACCCTAGACATCAGAAACGCATTCAACTCCGCCAATTGAGAATGCATCATGCAGGCCCTCCAAGAGAAGAATGTACCAGAATACCTTCTTAAGATCGTAACAAGCTACTTTGAAAATAGGGTCTTGAAGTATGACACGAAGAACGGTCAGAGGGAGTATGATATTACTGGAGGTGTACCACAAGGTTCAGTTCTAGGCCCGGTCCTATGGAATATTATGTATGACGGTCTATTAAGACTAACTCTGCCAAGAAACGTCAAACTCGTAGCATATGCAGATGACGTAGCCGTAGTGATTGTTGCCAAACACCTTGACGAGATAAACCATATGTTTGATCTCACTTTTGAGCGCGTTAAGCGGTGGATGGACGCAGTGAACCTGCAACTGGCGCAACACAAGACTGAAGCAGTGCTTATTACCAGCAGAAAAGTGGTAGAGACCATTAAGCTGAAAATCGGCGAACAAGAAATCACATCACAACCTTATATCCGATATCTGGGAGTGATGCTTGATGCCCGACTCAATTTCAAGCAGCAAGTAGAGCATGTCAGTGCCAAAGCATCAGTAGTGAGGGCTAGTCTAGCACGACTGATGCCTAACGTCGGAGGGCCAAAGCAGAGTAGGAGACTATTGTTGGCAACTGTAGTCACATCAGTGCTTACGTACGGAATATCCATTTGGGCTGATGCGCTAGAATTACAAGAAGCATGGAGAAAGGCTGGGCCAGTATACCGTCTGAGTGCCCTAAGAGTAGCTTGCGCCTTCCGCACAATATCTGAGGAAGCAGTGTGCGTCATTTCTGGAACTCTACCTCTCAGAGTTCTAGCTGAAGAAAGACAGAACCTTTACCAACGAAAGAGGTCAACAACACTGAGCGCAGAAGAACTCAGAACGGAACAAAGACAGCACAGCATCGCACGATGGCAATCTCAGTGGGATGCCGCAGAGAAGGGTAGATGGACGCATCGTCTCATACCAAAGATCGACATTTGGCTAAACCGGAATCACGGTGAGGTCAACTACTACCTAACACAGATGTTGTCAGGACATGGCTGCTTTTGGGCTTATCTTCACCGCTTTAGGCATGACGACTCTCCGGAGTGCCCGTCCTGCCCTGGAGCCACTGAAGATGTAGAGCACGTTTTTTTCGAGTGCTGGCGTTTCAATCAACAACGTGAGGAGCTGGAGAAGATCCTGAAGAAGACAATCCAACCAGAGTCAATCGTAGAAGCAATGCTGCCTTCAGAAGCTGCCTGGAATGCAACGAACACTTTTGCCACAGAAGTGCTTACAGAGCTGCGTTCCATCGAGAGAAAAAGAGCAAAAGACAGAACCTAGAAGGAAGAAAACATCTTAGCCACCAGAAGGAAGAGGGGCAGCTAATTCCTCCCCCCGCGAAGAAATGCCTTACGGCGGTACCATGGGGGATCAGAGGATATAAGAGAAAGGGGTTTAGGGTTTAGTGGGTAGGGGCGTCAGCGTCAAGTTTTAGTATGATGCTGCGTCGAGTCGCCACATATCCGGGCCAACATCTATGCCTAGAATCCGTAAAAAGGATTCCCCCCCCTAAAGGGAAAAAAAAAAAAAAAAAAAAACACACACACACACACACACACACACGTACAGAGATAGTGACAACATCTGATGAAAACTCGATTTTCGCTAAACGGAGTAAAACCAATAACTTCCCGATTTTCAAAAATCTTCGATTTTCTTAGCGGGAAGTTAAAAAAATGTAGAGATAACACAAAAAGAGTTAGTTATATAGTTGTAATTAAAATACAGTAGGTTCTCATTTGTTACTTTGTTTGATGATAAAAGAATCTTTATTAATACTTACCTATTGTTTCAAACTCACTCAGTTCTTCATCAACTGTAATTTTTCCACGACGATCAATACGGCTTAATGCAATATCATGCCAAGTGCTGTTATCAATTCGATATTTAGATACTCTTTTTTTTAGATATCCACTTCCAAGATCGATATGTAAATACAGATGGCCATCCAATAACTCGAATCCAAATAAGTCAGTCTGTTGAAAAATTGTTATTGAATATATGGTGAGAAATTAAAGACAATCTATATTGAATTTCAAAAAGTTTAAACGTTGTGTTTATTTACGAAATCCTTCTGTTAGTTGTCATTATTTTACTGTTGGTTAATTAACTCAGTCTTTTTTACCGTTAAAAAATTCAAAGAACTAGTTTATAATTTTTTATACACTAATAATTGGCTATGTTCAAGTTTCGTATTGCAATATAGTCATAAAAACAAAATAATAGACTGGAAAAAGTTGAATAAATTTGTGATAAATGAAAACAAAATACTTAAAAACGGTTGATCCCGCAGGGCATCCATTGAACTTTCCGCTTTGTACGAGTTTGAAACAAACAAAAAATAATCTGTTCCAAACTTTCGATAATTTGAAGCTGTGACGATGCTAAACATCGTGTGCCTCCGACCAAACTCGGGTTTGTCCGGGAGCGTGGCAAGGTGGCCGCATAATTTATAAAAGGGCGCGCGTCACGTGATCTGCACTCTCTTTGCTATTAGTACTCACAAGTAAGTCGACACATTATTGAGAAGTAGTTCAAGCTTATTGCTTACTTTGTGAGGAGACGAATAATTGAGAACAACGTAGTGTTCAGTTTAGAGTATAAATTGGCCCTATTGCATCCTAAAGTACCAGGCTATGCTGATGAACTCTTTATTATAGCAAAGTGAATGGTATAAGTTGTTGCAAAAGTGGTCAAGATATTTAATTATGAGTGAAATAAATAAATCAATCAACGAATAAGTCAAGTGTTATTTGCATCATGCCATTACCCTCTCCTTCAAATGGTATTAGAGGAGCGAGCTGTACTAGGAGCTTACAACCAGTGGTCATCCAGTCCATTTCATCAGGATCAGAACATCTACTCGAATTTCAACTATTATTTAAGTATTAGTGTTTGGTATCAGTTGACTGTAAGGCCAGTTCGAGGTATTTATCTGATTAATTTATTCGTACAAGTCTCATCTAGTCAGGCGACCTCACATTCTTTGAAACGTGCCCTGAACAGCTAATCAATCTGATCTATTATTTAAATTAATTGAGTACTTTTCACTTCAATCTATAAACGAAAATTTTTAATAGATAAAATTAACGTTTTAAAGCACAAAAACACAACTTTTACATTCTAACGAGCTTAAAAATCTAGTGGTAGTTGAAAACAATATTTCTTAAAAATTTTTGATTGCGATTTCGTCCGATCGAATAAATCGTTTTTCATGAGCTTTAGAGAATTCGACACAATTTTTCAGGCACACATAAATCCTTTATAGAAACAAAATTGTACTCAATGCATAAACCCCATTTTGATCAGTGTCAATCTTAAAAAGATCATTTGTTTCCTACCGAACGATTAGACGCAAAATTCCAAAGTTATGGTGAGAAAACACTTTTTTCTAATTTTTTAAAAATCAAATATTCCAACAATGATTCGACCGATTTTGATGTCTTTTTCGAAATTTTTTGTCAATGATATCTCAACCACGAATCAGTCGATTTTGATTTTTTTGACGACATTCGACGTTATGTTTTGTTGTCCTTTCGCCACTATAGATATTGGTGTATGCAAAATGAGTTTCATGAGATTTTTCAACTCTTATCTACGTAATTTGATGCAAGGAATCCGATTTTGATAATTAAAAAGTCGCCAAGTGGTCCAGTTTTTTGTTATTAACAATTTAATTACTTAAATGCAATTTTTGAGAAAACTATTATCGATAGATAAAAATTCGGATAGCTCGCATCAAAATACGTAATTAATACCTGAATCACTTTTCACGTATTTTTATCATTTTTTGAGTTATAACGTGATGGAGAATTATTATTTTTCCGCCGCAACTGATGAATTGTTGATGCGTGGTTTTTCAAGCTTAAGGGCGGATTAGTTTTTGAAGTTGATCAATCGAGCGGTTTAAAAGACATATCAAAAAAACCACTTTCAAAAATGATTTTTTTCTTATTTTTTTTTAGATTTTTTAAAATTTCTCAAAATCTATCGGTCCGAATCGGTTCAAATTCTCAGGAAATCTAAGTTTGAGGGAACTCTTTAGAATACCGCTTAGTACGTTCCAATTGGTTCAGTCGTTCAAAAGTTATAAGCGAGCCACATAGTCTCACACACACACACACACACACACACACACACACACACACACACACACACACACACACACACACATGGCAGCGCATATCCCATGCTACACCGAAGAAAGCCTGTCAGGCTGTCGACGTGACTGATGAAGCAATGGACACCGGAGCTGAAGGTGACAGTGAATCAGTCGCGGAAGACAAAAGTGAAGCCAGCAACAAGTCAGGTAAGAGAAAAGATCGACCTTCTCCTGACCCAAAAATCAGCCAAGCCATGAAGAAAAAGGATTTGAAGAAAAGCCCTCTACAAGGAACGGCAGGGCGAAGCGACCAACAGGAAAAAACGTCAGCCTGGCAAAAAGTTCAGTCCAAGAATGAGCTAAAGCGACAGAAGAAAGAGATGCTCTCACAACAGACGACAAAGGAGCCCCGACCTGAACCTAAGCGAAAAAAACCGCGGAAATGGATCAGACCGGATGCCCTCATTATCAGGCTGACAGAGAAAGCAAAGTACGCCGAGATCCTGCGGCGAATAAAACAGGACGTCCCTGATGACCAGGTCCGCAGTACGGTAGAGAAGATCCATAAGACCAATGCTGGACATATGCTGATAACTCTTTCAAGAAAGAGCACCGATAAAGGCCAAACATTGAGAAAGACCATGGCAGACATTCTGAAAGAAGACGCAAAAATAACCTGCAAAGGACCACAAGAGGTAATTGAGATCCGAGACATCGATGATGAAACAACTAAGGACCACATCCAGGGTGCCCTACAAGAGGAAGATGGAGATGGCTGTGAGATATCACTAGAGGCAATCAAGATCCGTAAGACCTATAGAGGTACTCAAATTGCCACAGTAGTTCTACCAGCAGCAACAGCACAGAAACTACTAGATGGAAGTAGCAAAATCCGGATTGGTTGGGTTAATTGCCGAATAAGAGCAACGAAGAGACCTATTCAATGCTTCAAATGCTGGCATTTCGAACATCATGGATCCCAGTGCAAAAGCAAGATGGACCGGTCGAAGCTTTGCATCAGATGCGGACAAGAAGGGCACAAGATTGCTGATTGTAAAAATCCAGACAAATGTGCATTATGTGCTGAGATTGAAAGAGCAGAGAATGTTGCCCACCATGCCGGTACCCATAAGTGCCCGTTATTTCAGGATG